TTATTTTTTAAAAACGAAAATACTGAAAAAAGTAATCGCCAGAGTTGTCCGTCGGTGGCTGCAGCGTTAACCCGTCCTGCCTTTTGACAACAGTTTCTGCTACAAGTTTAAAATGCTGCCTCGGTCGTTACGGTGCTCTCTGATTGGTCCGCTCGATTTGAATTCTAAGGTATTGCAGCAAAGCATCGTGGGAGATTTAGGCAAAAATAGCCAATCACTAAACGAGTATGTCACATTCCGCAGTGTTATTGGCTGAATCCCTGTTGTTGGTTTCTCCTTGTTTTCTCTAAGCGAGTACTGATGGGAAATGTAGTCGGGGTGGGCTTTAATCGTGACATACATCCGTTTTTTTCCCTTTCTTCTTCTGTTTTTTTTTTTACCCAAGTAGATAACGTGAATTTAATGGTCATTTGATTTTTTTTTCTTTTTCTTCTCCTTTTTTAACTAAAAGCCCGGAATAAATAGTCGCCATCGTGGATTGTTGTAACCGATTTAGTTTAGTCGAGGCAGCAGTCTATAGGCTAATTTATATGAGACTACTCACTGCAATAACCTTTGCTTATTTATACGCTGACCTCACTAGTTTTCGATAAGTATTGTTTCGTTATTACTCGTGTAATACTACTTTTCGTAATTATCAGTCGTGAGGTTGTCCAGTTTAATTAACTCTAAAGCATAACCAGCTACAACATGTAGACTGTACATTCATGTAAAACACACAACCTATTGTTATTACTGTTTTTAGCCAGTAGGGGGCACTGTCACTCCTATAACTTCCCGAATGCAATATAAAGCTATAACTTCATAGGGTCCCAATACTAAAATATGTTGATATCACTACCATAACAGATTGCTGTTGTTGAAGGCTGTAGTTATACAGTGAACCAAAGGACTGAATTTCTTTGAATGGACTGTTCAAAAAGTGTCACCATATTTCCATTAAAACCTTTTCTGGATGAAGTATGATCAAGTGTTAGTCAGTGCAATGTCTGTGTTTCATTAGTTTCATTAAAAACTTTTGTGTACATTCAGGATATATTATAGTTCCACACAATAATTGATGGGATTGTCATTGCAACACCAACTAGACTTAACTTCAGGCAGAGCATTCATGAAAAAGGCTATGTAAATAATTTTTCACTGGAAGTGTAACTATGGAAAGAAGAATGATTAAGAATTGCACGGAGTGGAAACAAAATTTGTGGCAAACATGGTCCACCTTGAAAGTCATGATAAACCAACCACCCAGGCCTTTGCTTCACCCCAGTCTTGACTCCATAGCTACAGCCTTGCTCTGCGTCATTGCCTTTAATGCCTTTTACTTCTAGCCTGCTGCTTCTACAATTGCCACTAATGCTAGTTCTGGTAAATGACAATTATTATCACACTCAATAAATAAAAATAAGAAAAACTGTATGTTGGCTTTACAAAAACCTTAATTGCTACGAAAGCTGATACACTTTATATATAGTGCTGTAATATTCTCTGAACCCTCCACCACCCTGAGGTGCACTGGTGGATCATTTATGCTGTTTGTGTGTGTGTGTGTGTGTGTGTGTGTGTGTGTGTGTGTGTGTGTGTGTGTGTGTGTGTGTGGTTACTGTAAATCTATGCTAAGCTGTCATGAGTGTTCATCTCAGGCCTGATGAAACATTTCTGTTGTGATGGAAATAGTCTCTTCTAGCATCACAGCCTCCGTCCATAGTGCACTCAGTTGTTTCTCAAGAATGAAAATAATGGGATTCATCTTCATCCAAGACAAACACACATGGCATGTTTCAGAGATTTCTCTTAATCACATCATTGTCACCCATCTGTTTATATGTATTTTGAATCATTGTGCTTTTATTTATTCTGTATTTTTATCATCTTGTTTCATAAGATGTGTATATTGGTTTTCTTTTTTATTGATCTGTTCCTTATCTAAATGACTGAGAAGCCTGTCCAAGAGCACAGGTGTTCTTTTATTCTTGCCACGTGCAGCTGACAAATAAAGTAATTCAAACTTTAATTTTCATGTTGTTCACTCTTCTTGGTAAAAGATAAACAAAAGCTTTTAATCCAACAGTGTGACATTTTTGATGTGTAATGATGCAGATTCATCCTTGTCAGGAGCCTCTGTTCTTTAGCCCTTGTGTGCTGCATGAGCCTCTGCTCCTCATTCATATTAATGCTTTTGTGGCAGACACGATTAATATCTGCTTAGCAACAGATTTTACAACTGACATGGTGATAAAGAGAGGAAAATAAGAGGAGAACAAGTGGATGAAGAGAGGACAGACGATGAGACCAGCGTGTTTGCTTAGCCCCTTTGTTCTACTTCATATAAGTGTCTGTGTGTGTGTCTAAAACGTCACGACACAACTTCAAGCAAAGAAAGGAGCTATTTTTATGATGCACTATCTCACGCTAAGCCGAAAATGGCACTTGTTGTTCATTATCACTAGAAAAAATATGCTCATCGGCTTTGTACATTGATTTAATAACTCAGAGGAACAATTTTAAGATGTAAATCTTGGAAAGCTTGGAATGCGAGGATGTTAGGAATAAATGGAAGAGACTCCCATCAGAAATATTTTCTCAGAGGATAAATTTGAATAGTCACAGTAATTTGTAACTGATTTTCAGTGTCCATTTTCTCTAAAAAAAAAAGACTGTGGGTTCAATTGCCAATTGCCATTCTGGGCACGTCCTCAGGGGCCCATGTATATTTGGGGGCCTATCCAAGAGAAGAATTTAAAAAGACCAGAACTGTATCATCTCAAACTTTACTCATATTTTAACAAAACATAGATATAGTTTTTTGTTTCGTTTTTTTTTTTTTTTATCATAACTGGTAAAATCCAGTAGTTTTATTTGCATTTGACCTGCCTTTTCCTCCCCTACACTGATAAAACTAATGGTATCTCCCAAGGTCAGCTAGCTACTTCCAAAATAAACGAAACAACATGAGAAAAAAAGGGGGGGTGGGGGGTGTCTAGTTTTTGTTTTTTTTAGAAAGTTTCCAGAAAGAGCCAGGCTGCCTTCACAAGATCATTTATCCATTAATTTATTCATTCACTTATTTATTGACAAAAAAAAGAAGTTTATAAATGTTCTAAGTGGGGACCTCACAAAAGTGCTTTTTCTCATAAAAGCTCTCTGGGCTCTATCACTGAAAAAAAAAGGCCATGTTGGATTTACTTGATTCAATAGTGGACATTGGTTGCACACAAATGTTTTGCTTTGGCAGAAACTTAAACAACTGAGTTAAATCAACTTTTTCATATTCAATAAACATGTGCATTTTGTGTTCATAAAACGCGATTGAAACATGTTCAGATGAAGTAAGTTGAGCTCTTGGAATATTTTAATCCTTCACAGTTTTGTAATTTTATTTCAACACTATTCAATAACTTTTATCCCAATACTATTGGTCACTTAAATACTACATGCTGTCTTCATATTACATAATGTTCAACAACGGGCAGGGATAGCTCAGGTAGAGTGGTGGCCCCATGATCGGAAGGTCGGGGGTTCGACTCCACTGAACGGCTACCCTGAGGTACCCCTGAGCAAGGTACCGTCCCTACACACTGCTCCCCGGGCGCTGCATTGGTGGCTGCCCACTGCTTCACTGGGTGAATGGGTTAAATGCAGAGGAACTAGTTCCCTATGGGGACTAACACGCACACTTTACACTTTACTTTTTACAAGGTCTAGATCCTGGTTACCATAAAAAGTGAATAGGTCTTCAACAACTACCATCCTTATCCTGGTTGCAGGGGGGTTGGGAAATAACCCTGAAGTGATAGGTTACAAGGCACGGTACACCCTGGACAGCTGACTAGTCTATCACATAGAAACAAACAACCATTTACACTCACAGGCAAAGGAAAATCACAAGCAAAACCTAACCCTAACAACTGCACGACTTTTAACTGCGGGAGGAAACCAGAATACCCAGGGAGAAACCTGCAAACTAGCCAGAATGTGGATTTGAACACAGGACCTTCTTACTGTGAAGCAACAGCACTAACCACCATGCCAACAACCTAGGAAATGTAGGAAAGCTATGATTTCCTGTATTTGATGCAGAATTTTTTTGTTTTTGTAATAATCCACAATAAATAGCAATAGCATGCACGTGGTGTGTGTGTAGTTGTCTGCCTCTTATAACTCCACTGATTTTCCTGCAGTTTGAAATCTTGTGCGATCTTGTGAATTCCATGAGTTCAGCAACTAACCACTCTTACTAGATTGTATCATGTAATGTCAACAAGAACAAATGAAGTTGTTGAATTTCGTACAGATCCTTCATGATTTAATTACGTTCATAGAAACATGAAATTATTGTGTTTAAATTACAAGTTAGACTTTTTTTAATGTAACAACCACCTAATTTACTTTTTTTGGTATACTAAAAAACAGTAGAGGTGGCTGCTCGACTTGACTGACATGGATGCCTTCCTGAAACCACGATCTAAAGAGCGCGAGTCTGAAACCCGTGCAGTGTCGCGGGATTTAACATTGATATATTATTGACTTACTTCACTTGAACATGATATGAACAATTTAATCTAGCCTCTCTGCATATCATGTAGTTTCTACACTATGCAGTTAAACTTAACTTTAAAGCATGAGGCACTTGTGTTAAATACACGCAAGATGCAAATCCAAGAGCTGGCCAATCCCTTTTTTTCAGTGTACTCTGTTTCAACACTCATCCGGGAGCGGGACTGAAGCAGTCTACTGGCAAGAGAGGTGCTGAAAGGAGGAAAAAGAGGAGACCACCAAACAGACAAAGGGAATGAGAGGAGAAAAAGAACAGGTGTGTGTGCTTTGATGGTTACTTTAACCATCACATTATGAGATTTCTGATTATTGAAGAAAGAAAAAAGCTCTAGGGCCCATCAGACACTTGTTCACATTGGTGTTTAACTCTATGATCCACGCATAGACATACTCGTTTCAGATGTGCCAAGACCAGTGGAAGGTTTACAAATGAAGCACCGGACACATTTTACAACAAAGTTATTTTACTGACACCATATAAAAATGTACACACAAAACAGGACTCAAATAAAGTGCATCATCCCGTTTGCTCCCCTTAAACTATGAGCATTACAGGCCCCGCTGGCTTTCAGACACATTAAAGTGACCCGAGGAGCCGTCACCCGTGAACAGGTGTTAAACTGCAACACGCTCCAAAGCGTAACATTTTAGAGTGAGAACGGGCTCGAAACTGAGCAGGCGCAGTCCAGCTGCAGCGGTTTCTACGACAGAACACAGCTGTTGTGCTTCTTCGGCGAGGGTCTCTTCCTAGCTCGGGGCCCAGGCACGGTGTCTCTGCGTGTCCACGCCGCGGGGCTCAGTCGTGGCGGCAGGTTCACCTGTTGCAGCAGCGAGCTGAACACCCCGACCGCGTTTCTGCCCGTGCTCGCGGACGCCTCCACGAAGTCTGCGCCCCACTCAGCCTCCACCGTGGCCATGGCGTCACAGGCAACCGGGGCTCGACCTTCGCTCTCGGTCAGATCCGCTTTGCTGCGGACCACGGTGATGGGCACGCTCCTGCCGCCGCCGCGCAGCTCCAGAATCTCGGCGCGCAGTCGACGCACCTCCTCGAAGGAGTCGGGCTCGTCTGCCGCGTACACCAGGGCGAAGGCGTCGCTGTGTCGGATGCAGAGCTCCCGCATAGCCGGAAACGAGTAGCTGCCGCTCGTGTCCAGTATCTCCAGCCGCATCTTCTCCTCAGAGCCCGCGGTGTCATACTCGAGCACGTGAAGCTCCTCGACAGTGCGCGTGTACTTGTGCTCGAATCCGTCGTGGAGGAATCGGTGGATGAGCGCGGTCTTGCCAACCCCCGCTGCTCCCAGGAATACAAGCCGGACCGTGTTGGGACGCCCTGACGGAGACATCCCGACGATCCCGGTGCACGTGCAGCTTTATGCAGCTCCATGCAGCCAGGCTATTTATAGGCTGCTCCACCGATACGACCCCACCCGGTCGTTCTCCGCTCAAAATCGCTCAAGTTCAGACTCTGAAAGCCACGGAGCACACCCGATTTGGCAGCATGGAAACATAAATGATTTATGGATTTAATGTCTTTTCAGCGCTTATGTCAACATGTGTGAAAGAGTCGAACACGTGCGTTTGTTTGCAGCGTTTGTGAGTCATGGAACTCAATGCCAGTGTATTTCACAGGAACCCGGATATCATAAATCATTTCCACAGTTCACAACAGTGTGCATACAATAACAAGCTTCTGTCGAAGCTTTGTAGTTAATTTACAACCCATGGTTAGCCTTTTTACATCCCACCATTGCGTTTGCTTATTTACTGCAATGATCCTAATCCCCCCCCCCCCTTTTTTTTTAATTTTTTTTTTATTAATGGAACAATGGGGATGCTATACCTTTCTGGCTCCTCATCGTAAAATTTAATTCTTGCAGCACTCTACTTCCCACCAGCAGAAATACAGCTCTGGCGGTGAGCAAGAACCCCCACCTGCTGATCAAACCCTGTGTTTGCAAAGGGTGGCCAATCAGAAGAAAGCTGGCTAAAAAAAAAAACAGCTAGGAGGGAGCTGCAACTTGTTACTTGACAGAGGATGAATTAAGGGACTGCTACAAGGCCCAGTATAAAATAAATCATGATTCTGAACTGCGAAGAAGTTATTTTGATTTTTCTATCTAAAAGAAGCATGTAAGTCCCATTTCAGGTTCAGTGGTCAAACTTGAGACTTAACCACAGTAAGTCTGTCACCAGTAAATCTTCCCCTTCCCAACTAAATGTGTGCACCGTCTTCTGCTCTTTGCTTTTGAATTATTGGCTCATTTCTCTCATTCCTTTGACTCAACATTTCCACCCACACCTGAATTTGTTATTGTGGCCACAACCTGAAGTCTGGTGGTAATAAAAAAAAAAAAACCCCAGTCATACATGCTCGCAAACAAGGTCCTGTCACGTGCAGTTATGTTTACACCATGTGTGGAAGGTTTCTTTTTAATGACAGTCCTGCCACAAAGACCCATTGTTTGATGCAAATACACATGCTCTATAATCTGATAATTAAAGCGCACTACCTGTAATTAAAAGCGCTGCTGGCCTTCCAAAAGAAATTTGGAAAGCATCAGGCTGCCCAGTGGTAACTGGCTGTGCAGACCTACCAGCACCACCCTGAAGAAGCTGTCAGTGGTGTGATGATGCGAACACATTGACCGCACAGCAGGTGGCTGGCATGAGTAGAATTTATGTGATGCAAGTAATGTGGTTTAGAAAACTGTACTCGCTAAATTTTTTCTTATGAAGCGTGTAATTACTGTCACGAAGTCATGGGCGTAACATTGCTGAACATTGCTGAACATTGCTGAACATTGCTGAACATTGGGGGGTCAAGATCTCTGTCTAAATAAATAAAAGAAATCTGGGTAAATTCACAGATGATTAAACATGCAACTATTCTGCTGCTAATAACTGAAATGAGTAAAGAAAATCAACAGCCTATTTATGCAAGATAATTCATAATTTTATTGGGGGGTCATAACCCCCCTAACTCCCCCTGGAAATTACGCCCCTGCACGAAGTACAGAACTAAATTCTCTGTGTCTCGCTGACCAACTCTGTCTGGTGGGACGTGGCTATCACTTGGTAAATAGGTACTGCGATAGCTTGTCATTGTGCGCGTGTATTTGGGTGAGTGCATTTGCTTCTCTTATCTGTACCCTTGAAGAAGTGTATGCAGTAATATAAAGGAGCAAATAAGATGGGAACAAACTGTAAAAACAGAACAAGCCAACCTTGAAACTGACCTGAGGCCTGCTGGAACTCTCGTATAAGTGGTTGCAGCTTTAAGGGGGGGTTCTAAGTCCTTTGGGTCATTCCAGAATCTGGGTAAATCCATATTAAGGTAGCTGCGAGGTGTGAAACACAAATTACCAGTAATACAACAATTTAGAACAACAAAAAAAAGTAGTGTGAAATTTCTTTTACACACTCGGCTTTTGTGCATTAAAACATTTTCAGATTGAAATCAGCAATGGCTTCACTGAAACATATTCCAGAAAGCTGGAAACACTTATTACCCTTCTGTCTATCCATTTTCTTCTGCTTATTTAAGTCAGGGCTGTGGGAAGGAGCTGGAGCCTATCCCAGCTGCCGTGGGCTGAGACACTGGGTAGACTCTGAACAGGTCACCAGTCTGTCATAGGGCTAAGACATAGAAACACACAACCATTCACACCTATGGGAAATTTTAAATCACCAATTAACATAATTCCTCACAGAAAGGCTGCGGCCAGGTGATGGATTTGAACCCAGGACCTTTGGATTGTGAGATAATGCACCAGAATACTGCTCCACATACTCACCTAAAATATAAATATAAATATAAATGTTGCCAGGGCAACATTTGCCTTAATGCACAGTTATAATAATTATTTATCTTAATTAATAATATTAATTAAGGTTATAGTTTAAGCTAGGAATAACAGAAGTGCCCATATACTTTGGTGATAAAGTGAAAATCAGGTTTAAAGCATTTTTAAATGATGTGCACTAGATGGCAGCAGTAGACACATTAAAAAAGCATTGAGACAGTTGGAGTTGCAATTAAAAACTGGGAAGTTGCTGCTGTTGCAAGTATGTGATCTGTGCAGAAGTAACAGCAAAGAGTCATCGATATGTTACACAGGAATCATGGGTATAAATAATGAAACCGGCTTCATATCTTACAGTAGCTTAAACAAAGTCTGTCCTGTCTCAGTCAGAGAGGCACATTAAAAGAAAACGTTTTCATGCAGTTTAGATGATTCTGAAGTGTGTCAACTGTGGGCTTCGCCAAAACACTAGCATCTGCTGCAGTTCTCTGATATATGTGTACATGTTTAGACATCCTTGTGAGGACAGAAAATTGCAATGCTACTGTACTTGTGGGGACCAACAGTCACCTCTCCCCACGAGTTTGAAGGCATGTTTGAGGCTCAAACTGTGGTTTTAGTGTCAGGGTTACAATTAGGTTATAGTTAGATTTAGGCTAAGGGTTAGGGTTAGGCATTCATTTTTGATGGTTAGGGTAAGAGGCTGGGGAAGGCATTATGTCACTTAGATGTCCTCATTAAGACATGAACATGAGTGAGTGTGTATTTTATTATGGTTATGGTTTTTTACTTCAAGATTCATAAAAGATTTAGTGTCCTTTTATGAGTTTGCATAAAGGGACACTGCTGCTAGACATAGTGTATGAGAACATTGTCATTGTGAGTGTGGTACATTCTAGTATTAGCATGTTACTCAAGAGTTCTCCCACTGGTATGACTATAGACACATTACATAATTTATCCTAAAAAAAGAATATATATATATATATATATATATATATATATATATATATATATATATAAAAAATAAAATAAAAACAACTGTTCTTACAGTTTTCTCAGGATGGTAAAACGCTGTCCCATTTCACTTTGAGGAGTTTCTTTATCACGTTTATTGCCCAGGAGAAATCTGTCCTATAACTGAAGGACAAAGAAAACCTCATTCCTGCTTTGTCTTCACTTCTGTTCATTGCTCTGTCCCTCCGCTCCAGTGCCATGTGAGCTTTTTTCTGGCAGGAGGATTTGGCTCAAACCCGACATGTGCTTTCTCTTAAAGACTTTGTGCACACAGACTGAAAAAGGCATGGGAGGTTATCATATTACCTTGAGCACAGTGGACGCTCCAATCCATTTAATAAGCACTCAGGCTTTTAATTTCCACAGTCCTCATGTGAGTGTGTCAGAAACTGTGTTTGTAGTTACACAGGGCGGTTCTGTTTTGGTTATTACAAGGTTTGCTGGGATTATTCAGCAATGTGTGTTCCATCTTTCAACAGTCATCTTCCTAAAGCCTCGTTCCTGCATTACTTGTTGCCATGGCAACACGCAGAGACCCTGCAGTGAAAGATGAAGGATGATCGTTCAATCTGCTTTTGCGTGTATTCAAACACGTAAGTTTTGCACCCATTATAGCGTTCGAGAGTTGAGATTTGGTCTGCAGAAGAGAGAAAGTGGAGTAGGTTACCTCCTTCTTGAGCTCGGCTGCCTTTCTCCTCTACCGTTTTGGCTCAGTGCACTCTCAGGGGGACGTGATGCAGGCTCTGTCTTCCTTCTCCCACACACAACAGCATTTGCTAAATAGCCTCATCAGAACAAGATGGTTGGAGGAAAAAATCTATGAAAAGAATAATAATGTAGGTCCACCTTCTTTTCTGTTTAGGTGTAACATGAAGAAACATGTGACCCAAATGCTGAGCTCAGTTGTTGCACAGACAGATCAGCTGAGCCCTGTTATTGATCCATATGCACAATAAAATAACAATAAAAACAGCATTATTAAGTATTATCAGGTTTATCTTTTTCACTATGTGCATTTTGTTCAAGCTGTCATCTCTCGACTCGAGCTGTTCAGCTTTAGAGTTACATCTATCAAGCGGATTCCTGTAAAGGGGCAGGATGACTTCTTGCTCCCAGAGTAGCTATCTTACCTAATCATGTGATCTGCAATATTGCTCTCACTTCCTTTTTCGGACTTGTTTTTATGGGATCAATTTAGTTATATTACGGGCAAGATTAGACCAGAGGCAGGGAACTTGTGAGGCTGTACTTTGAGCATGCTCAAAATGAAATTGTAAGCACACTACCATTTTGCAGCAGCAGAGCCAAGGGCTGGCCATATACACCTTATAGAATGTCTTGTCACTGCACACAATCATCATGATTGGAATATGACTGAAATGATCCTATAAAAACCAGAACAAGGAAGTGAGTGATTAGGCAAGACAGCTGCTCTGGCAGCAAGAAATCGCAGGTGCAAGCTTAACACTGAGTAACTTACAAGTTATTGTAAGCACATTGTAAGAACTTTGGATTGAAAGGTCGTCAGGCAGTGAGGAAGCGTGTGGTTTCACACATCACATCCAG